ATCCCCCTTGGTCATGATGAATGAGCTTTAAGAAGCTCTATTGAGTTCGAGTTGCTCATATCTTGTTGAGGATTTTTTGCCTCTAGACTCATCAGGAAATGGCCCAGAGTTTTCTTTTCTTACAGTGTCGTTGCTTGGCTTTGGTATCAGGGTATGTTGACTTCATAAAATAATTTTGAAAGGATTCCTTCCTCTTCATTTATTTTTCATTTTCTTTACTTTCTGGTACATATATTTTTTTTTCTTCTTTTTCTTCTTTTTTTTTCTTTCTTTTTTTTTTTTTTAGCATTTCAGGATTGACATAAATCTTTTTTAAATATTTGGTGGTAGAATTACCAATAAAGCTGTCTCATCTCAGGCTTTTATTTTTTGGGGATATTTGATTACTGATTTAACCTCCTCTCATTAGTTATAGATCTGTTTAGATTTCCTACTAGTATTTCTTCATAATCCATATTTGGTAGATTTTATGCTTCTAGGAATTTATCCATTTCTTTAAGGATATCCAGTTCAATGATAGTTGTTCATAAACGTCTTTTATGATCCTTTGTATTTCTGCAGATTCATTTGTGATTTTCTTCTCATTTCCATTTCTAATTTTGAGTCTTCTTAGTGTAGCTAAGGTTGAGCCTTTCAAAACAATAACTGTTACTTTTGTTGCCTTTTGTACTGGTTTTCCATTATTTTTTATTAATTTAATTTTATTATTATTTCTGCAATGCCAAAGGACATGTGCAAGAGAGAGAGAGAGTGAAAGAGAAAATTCTCTCAGCAGAATGCAATATATCACAATCCTTTTTCCTCCAATTTTCCATCCCGTCAGAATCCTGGGTACATAAGAACACACTCTGTGTGTTTTATAAGTTGCCTGGACTTTTCAGTTTGTCTGTTCCATCATGTTGGATTTGGCTTCCTCTCATAGCACTTGACTACTGAACTTCAGGGCTGGCCAACTCTTTCTTTCTTTTTTATTTTTTTGGCCATAGGACGTAGACACTCACCAGAGAGGCAGAGGGCAAAAAAGTGAGAAATTACCTCTGGAGGGCTGGCTATGCCCCAATTCCTTCTCCTCTTGAATTTTAGGTGCATGCACACACACACACACACACACTACAATTTTCCAGCTACCAGGGCTTGGACTCAAACCTTGATCAGCCATGGGGGAGTATAGCAACATAACTACTAGGCCATCTATACTGGCCCTTATACTTCTCTCTCTTTTTTTTTTAATATTTATTCATTCATTTATTTCATTTTTTAAACTTGACCAGAGAGGGACAGAGCGAGAGAGAAAGAGAGAGAGGGAAAGTGAGAGAGCAAGCCTCCAGGTCCAGGCCTTGAACCATTGTCGGCCATGTGGGAGTCCAACATCCTTAACCACCACACCACCTGCTGGCCCCTATATTTCTCTCTTAATACTGCTTTTGCTGTGTTCCATAGATTTTAACATGTTCTTTGTCTTCATATGTTTCAACAAATTTTCTAATTTCCTTTTGGACTTTCTTTATTGGCTTATTGGTTGTTGAAAAGTGTGTCGTATAATTTGTAAATATGCCAGTTTTTCTTCTGATACAGATTTTCATTCTTTTTGTTGTTGTTGTTGTTTTTAATTTGCGAGAGGCACATGCATTTGCCAAGAGAGACAGAAAGAGTGAGAGCAAGAAAGCATTCCCCATGGGAGGTGGTCATGCCACAATCCCTTCTCCTCTTCTACCCCCTTTTGGGATTTGGAGCACAAATGCACCTGGTGTGTTTTTCAAGCCACCAGGTCTGCAACTGGAACTACACCATTCGCCACATGGGATCCAACCACCTTAATGTTACACCACACCACTGGCTGGTCCTTGCTAGGGATTTCTAGTTTCCTTCCACTGTAGTAGGGAAATGATTCTCGACATGATTCAAACTTTTTTCCTTTTTTTTTTTTTTTTTGGAGAGATTTTCGCTATAGGGTGCGTGCGTTGACCAGACAGAGAGAAACATAGAGACAGAAAGCAAGAAATCACCCCCCAGGGGGATGGCCACGCTGCAATCCCTTCTCCTCCATTCTCCTCTCGGGATCTTGGGCACACACGCACACACACCTGGCTTGAGTTTTAAGCCACCAGGTCCAGGACGCGAACCACGATCGACTACGTGGGAGTCCAGCGACATAGCCATTACGCTAACTGCTGGTTCCCACACTTTAATACTTGTTTTGTGACCTAACATGTGACATACCCTGGAAAACATTATACGAGCACGTAAGAATACATATTCTACTGCAGATAGGTGAAATGTTCTGGGTATGTCTGTTGCATCCACTTGATCTATCATGTTGTTCAGGTCTCCTACTTCCTTGTTGATTTTCTGTCTGTAGTTTCTATTCCTTATCAAAACTACTATTGCTGTCTTCTATTTCTTCCTTAATTCTGGCAGTGTTTGCTTTATATATTTAGGTGCTTTGATGCTGGGCACATAGATACCTGTAGTTACTGTATCTTCCTGATGAGTAAACTTTTTTTTATCATTATGTACTGTCCTTGTTTCTTATGACAGATTTTCTCTTACAGTCTGTTCCCTCTGATAGAAATGTGTTACCCCTGCTCTCTTTTGGTACCATGTCACATAATATCTTTTTCATCCCTTTACTTTCAGCTTGCATGTGCCCTCCATCCTTGTATCATTCTCTCTTCTTATCCTGCTTTAACTTTCTCCAAATCACTTACCATGCCCTGGCATTATGTTATATAATGATACGTCTGTTCCCCTCGGTAAGTGTTAGTTTCGTGGAGGCACAGAACTCTATCTGATTTCCTTCAAAGGGGAAATTTTAAAAGCCTGGCAAAGAGCAGGCACTCAGAAGAGCTTTGTATGAATCATGACTTGCTTTTCTGACCAAGTCCTCTGAAAACCTTTTTCCCATTCACTGCCTCTCCTTGACCCACTCAATTCTTTCCATTCCTCAGTGCTGGAGCCTGTCTCCCAGAAGAATGGAAGCCTCTCTTTGTCAGCGAAGAGCCCCTGAAAATCGACCTTTAATAGATATTTCCTACTTCATCTAAACACTCTCATCCCCACAAAATATTCCACTTAATTTCTTATTTATGGGTAAAATCTATGGTCAGATCACTTTGTATATAGCCTCTACATGACTTTGTTTTAAATTATGTCCATACAGCAGGAGCTACAACAGTCCCTAGGTTGGTACAGTGCTAGGTTCCCAGAATATTCTTAATGAATAACTGCATCAGATGTGAGCAAGCCAATGGTGGGGGATTAATAGTTGAAAGAGCACAGGCTTTGAAGCTGGTTGTACCTAAGTCTGAATCCCAGTTGTCACTTAATCTCAGCCCATGATCTTGGACAAGTTATTGAACCTTTCTGGATATAAATACACATCAAATTCTTAGCATCACATTCAATATAGTAACTTCTAGACAAATGAAATCTATTATTATCTAGCTGGGCTGCTTGCATATCTAGCAGGATAATTTAGGAGATTAACTCACTCAGAGATGACCCTAGTGCAGATTTCTCTTCAAATAGTTGTTTGTGGCTGTACAAAGTTTTTGGCACTCCCTTTTACGGAGATGGCCACTTAACCCACACCTCCAACCACCATGGGGAAGTCTGGGTTCCCTACTTAGGGAAAACAATATGTTTTCCTAAGAGTTCCTTCTGGTATTAAACTCTCTCTGGTATCCAGTTTCCTTATACTGGGAGAAATAAAATAATTTCTTCTAGCTCTTTGCTTTAAGCTTACCTTAGTCTCTAGCTACATTTTCTTAAAAACTGTGTCCAAGTTCTATATACACCCATGATAGATTGTTCAAAAAGCTTTCCGTAAGTGAGTGCTAAGTATGGTACTAGCAACTATGCCAACGGTTGTAAATAAAAAATATAAATGCTGTCCTTGTTTTGTATGTGGTTGACAAAGTGTAAACATTTTAAGGATTTCCCCCATAATCATAAGAATTAAATCTTGAAGAAAGATAAGATGGTAAGTGACTTTATCCTCTTTTCTCTGTGACCTCATTTATTGGGAATTCTGTTGACTGGTGCCCACTGGGAAGCACCATGGACTGAGATGGAACATAGAGCCCAGTGGAGTAGGAGTCAACAGAGCGGCTTCAAGTTCTCATTCTCACAATAATAACTGTAGGCCTTGATCGATTCACTTTATCTCACTATGTCTGTCCTCTAAAATTATAGATAAAGAATCTCTTAGACCCCTTCTGGGTAGAAAAATTCTATGTCTCAGGACCAGCAGATGGTGTAATGCCTACATCACTGGACTCCCACGTAGTCGACCATGGTTCAAGTCTCAGACATGGCGGCTTGAAACTCACACAGCATGCGTGTGCATGCATGCCCAAAATTCTGAGAGGAGAATGGAAGAGAAGGGAATGTGGCGTGGCCATCCCCCCCCCACCCGGGGGGGGGGGGAGTGATTTTTTGCTTTCTGTCTCTCTGGTGAGCGCATGCATTCTATAGGAAAAAAATCTCTCAAAAAAGAAAAAAAAAAAGAATTCTGTTTCTTAAGTCCAAAAATCTTTCTCTAGGGAAAAATAACTCATTATCGTGGTTTCCAAAGATTTATAAAGTTTACCATTTGCAATTTTGAATGTATCAGTCAATGTTGTACTATTTCATAATTCAGAACTGTCAATGTTTTCTCTGAAAAAGTATCACCTGAAATTAATGTATGCAGTTGTAAAAAGTAAATTGAGGAGCCAGCAGGTGACATGGTGGCTAAGGTGCTGAATTCCTATATGATCAACCAAGGTTTAAGTCCCAGATCTGACATCTTGCTTTCTCACTTTCCCTCCCTCTCTCTCTCTTTCTCCCCAGCTTTCATCTTTCTTGATGAGTGCATGTGTCCTATTGCAAATTTAAAAAATAATAATAAATCAAAATAATAATTCTAAAAAACAAAAATGTAAATCGAATTCCATGGCATAATGATAAATATGTCATGTATCTAAATCATGAGTTTCTCATATTTATATCATCATTACCTGGAAAGTAGTTCTTTTCTGAAATAAACACATTCTAGTTTGAATCTCTTCAAAATTTCTATTAACTTGGCAAATTCCGTATCAAGAGATTCTTTGTGGTTTCCCAAGCTGGTCAGCATTAATATGCAAAGACTTAGCTTCTCTTTCATGATATGTTTGAATTCCTATAAGAAAAGTTACACAATAAACTTCAGTACTCCAGTGTTAAATATAAGCAAATAACAAGAGGCTATGTATTGATAAATGCAATGGCCATTCCCATCCGAAGAGCATTCACTGCTGTTGGATCCCAAAGTTAGAATTAAATAGGCACCAATTCTCAAATACCAAAGATTTATTATCCTATTGGTTGGTTATCTCATTTACCAAGTACATTATTAAGTACCTACCATTGTCTCAAGGTAGTGGGCTCTGAGCATTTCCAGGCATCACGTTGCTTTAGATCCGAATATGATCAAGTTATGCAACGAAATTAGTATTTGTGGATTATCATGTTCAAAAGCAATTTTTTAAAAAAAGGTTAGATTGGTAAAAAGAGTTGAAATTTACATTCCAGAGTTTACTTCTTTCTTTAGCTTAATTTAGGGAGTTGATGTACTCTAGAAAGTAGTCTATCAATTGAAATGTAGAAATTGTAGGTGATGGATAGATAAAAGAGATGTATTTGAGCCAACCCAATGGCCTAGTGGTTAAGGGAGTGGGACCCCACTTATGATTTAAGTCCTAGAACCAAATGTTGAAAAACAGACTGGACACCTATGCACATGTGCCCGAAATCCTGAAAGGATGGAGAAATGGAGGAGAATGGACTGCAGCAGAACCACGCACCACTGGGGACAGGGGGTACTTTCTCTCTCTCCCTCCATCTCTGTCTATCTCTCTGGTCAGTGCACATGATCTCTGGCAAAGAGAGAGAGAGAGAGAGAGAGAGAGAGAGAGAGAGAGATTTCTTCATATATGTGCTTCCTTTCTAACAAATCTAGAAGTTTCCATTATTCCGACATTCTGCTGCTTTCTGAGATAATAAAACTGTCAGCATCTCAGAACAAAGATTCCTTTACACAACTGTCATCCTGCCAAAGCTAGGGAATTTTTCTAAGACGTTTTTGCCTTAAAGCACATGCACTTGCCAGGGAGAGAGAGAGAGACAAAGACGAAGACAGAGGCAGTGAGAGGGTACATGAGAAATCACCCCCTGCGGGGGGAGATGGCCATGCCACAATCCCTTCTCCTCTATTCTTCTTCTAGGATCTTGGGCACACATGTACATGCTACTGGTAAAACTTTCAAGCCACCGAGTCAAGGACTTGAACCACCACTGTCCATGTGAGAGTCCAGCAATGTAACCACAACGCCATCTGTTGGCCTCAAAGCAAGGGAATTTTAATAGGCCAAGGGGGAAAAAAATCCATGCTTAGAAAAACAAGGAAAAGGAAGAAGATGAAGAGGATGAAAATAAAGATGATGATGATTAATAAATTGATTCTAACAAAGTTGTTTTTCTTTGTCTATATAGCATTTAAGTACCCCTGCATACAACTCACTCCTATTAAAGAGAAAAGAAATTTATTTTATTTTGGAGAGGTTTTTTTGTTTTGTTTTTTGTTGTCGTTGTTGTTGCTTTCGGGTTTTTGTTTGTTTGTTGGTTGGTTGGTTTTTTGCTATAGGGCGCATGCACTCGCCAGAAAGACAGAAAAAGACAGAAAGACAGAAAGCTAGAAATCACTCCCCCAGGGAGGATGGCCATGCCACAATCCCTTTTCCTCCATTCTCCTCTCAGGATCTTGGGCATGCACGCACACACACACACACCTAACATGAATTTAAGTTACTGGGTCTGGGACTCGAACTGTGGTAGACTACCTGGAAGTTCAATGACATAGTCATTATGCCAACTGCTGTTCCCCCCAAAAAATGCTTAGAGTAGCCAGTTCTCACAAGATACAAATAAAATACATTTTTTCAATAAATAACTTTACTTATTCTTTGTCTCTCTGTCACTATCTTCACACTCACTCTCAGTTTCTCTCCTTGCTGTCCTGCTCACACACGTAATCCTCTCCCCTCACACTCTCATGCTCACCCACATTCCCACACTCACACACAACCCCATGCACACCCCTCCACACTCATGGTCAGGCTGAGACAGCAGAGGACCTACAATAACGTCTGCAAAGAGGTGCTGTGTGTGACAGGCGGTACCTGGGTTAACAAAGTAGAAACGAAACCAGGCACGTGACAAAATACGGAACACTTACAGTAAGTTTCTCCTCCTGCTTCCCTTCCACAGTCATTTCTGGATCAGTTACCCACTGGAGGGGGCTATCAAGGAGGCTTTTAACTTCAGACATTGCTTCATGCTGAAAACAAGTTCCACAATATCAACTAGGAGTTCGGGTGAACGCTGCATGCTATTAGGGCTGATTTAGACCAAAGTTCTATTCTACAAGTAATCCAGGAAGATACCAGAAAGTCTCTCCCCTGGGGCTCCCCAGTGACTTTCCTATCCCTAGGACACGGCCCTGTGCGCATGCTAAGTCTTGTCAGGCAATGTACATGGGTCGAGTGCTTACAGATAGATTCATTTTCCAGAACAAAACCTACCCACTTTCATTCCCCTTTCAAATGAAGAAAAGAAGCATTTTTACTGACTGCTGTCATTCATCAAACTAAATGCTACCTGCTATCTGCAAGGCATTGTGAAAGGGTCTGGAAATACCATGAAGATATTCTCTCAGTTCTCCAACCATCTAGCGTTTCTGGCGAAAAGTGAAAATAGAGAAAATGATACTGGCCACTGACTAGCAGGAAATTAAGAGAATTTAACTATCCAAAAGAAACTATGTCTTCAGCCCTTCGACACTAAAGTCTAACCCACAGGAAAAACAAGCTCAAATGATCTACATCAAATGGTCAGTCTGTTAGTCCAGACTGAACCAAAACTAGAAGGTCAGCTTCAGGAAGGTTTGAGAAAAGTCTTCTCTTTCCATTGAATTCATTTGGTCTTGACCATACACAGATACAGTCAGACCCAGCATAAAAGCAGTACATCGGTTACCTGTAGGGATTCCTAGCCAACGTGAAACACTACAATACATGCATGTTGAATAATACCAGCTTCTGGAGCGTTGCTGTGAATTCCACACCCTTTTCTTCAGACTCTTTTAGTAACAGCAGAGCTTCTTGGTCCATCATCATGTCCGGAGATGACAAACTGATTAAACCACACTGCCGTTCAGTGTCAGGGTTCTGAAACAATTACCAAAATGCCCACAACTCCGTCATTCTCCTAAAGAACATTCATTACTTTTATGTCATGAAAATGACGCTCAGGAGTCAATGCAATTGTCATCATCGAGCAGTTCTAGAGAGTCTATGGCATCCTCCTACATCCTAAAATAACTGTTGACATTTGCCCTCTAGGATGGCTTCAGCTGAACATTTATGCTGACTTAGGGAAAATTCACTTCTCCAACAGATAACACTTACATGGGTAATATAAACTGTTATGGCTCTAATTCTGATATAAAAATAGGGAAAATAAATAAATTCTCAGCAGGGGAGTACATTCAGTGACACAGTGGCAAAATGCAACCTCTGTGAGGTGACCCACATGAGAAGGTTCTGGATTCACATGTGAAGTACCCCAGGCATACATGTGCCCATGATCTGGGCTGGCTGATGAGGTTCATGGTGTCAAGACCCTATTGAAAATGCTGTCTCTGTCTCTTTTACTTGGAAATGAATAAACTTTAAACAAAATTCACGGGTAGGAAAAAAGTCAATCACACTGAAAATAGGCCAGTTTGTCTTCCTCCCATTCACAGAAGACACTTTCAGATGATGTTTCATAAAATATACTTCTCTCAAAATGTCTGTCTCCCATCACATTTTAACTTTTTATTGCCAGAGGGGATATGTGCTTGCCAAAGAGAGAGAGAGTGAGAGTGGGAGAAAGCGCCCCCAATGGGGTATATTCACACCACGATCTCTTCTCCTCCATTTCTCCCTCCTATTGAGATTTTAGACATGCACAAACAAGCACCCAGCATATTTCTCAAGCCACCAGGTCCAGGATCTGAACCATCAGGCTGGTGATGTGAGATCTGGTTCCCCTAACCACCAGGTCATGGGCTGGCCTTCCTGTCATATTTTAGATGCGTGACAACGATACAGCCTCTCTTTGCTGTCTGTTGCGAAGGTCAGAGGAATTTTAATTCCCAGTGTTTTTGTTTGAAGGAGAACTTCCTAACCCGTCAGTGGGAACACCTCAGAGCCATAGCTCTGCTGCTGACAGCCCCTGTGTAGAAGAGTGTAGAACATTACGGGCTGACATATTGATATCATTATTATCTCAGAAGACAGAGGACGAAAACACACAGTCGTGGCAGATTTGCCTCCGTTTCGCTCAGTCTGGCAATTTGGCTTGATTTCAGAAACACACTGAAATGCTGCACGTTTGAAACAGAATGTCAGCAAAGCACAGCCCTCAGCAGAGTGTCCAGGGCTGCCCAAGACGGCCTCAGATGAAGGCGGCATATGCTGCCCGGCATCCTTGGCAGAAGCATTTCAGACAGCACTTGCCCCAAAGACACTCTTCTTCTCCTTTCAAGGTCGCCTCGCAGCTATCAACAGGACTTTCTGACATATTTATCATTCACAGACATGGGGAGACCATCAAAGTGGTGAAAAGAAAGCAGCTTGCTAAATAAAGCATTTCCTAACATAAGCGTGGAACTGAAAAGTACAAAGGAATAAAAATATAGCACAAGAGGTTGCAAATTTTCATGCCCAACAAGGTATTTGAGCGTTTTCTCCCATGTTATAAAGAACTGGGTCTACCAAACTGAGATTTTTAAAAGCAATAATTCAGTTTGGCATTTAAAAATGAACTGAAATGCATAAAAATGATTGTTTCTGTGCAGAATGTAATAAAATCAATGTTAAGTTGGGTTGCTATATTTACATTTTAAAGCAATTTGGGGTTTCTGGGCATCTTTATTTTTGGTAAATACATTTACTTTGTTTTTATTTTTCAGATGGGGCCTTGTTTTGTCACAGTCTTCTTGCTTCAGCCTCCCAAGTAGCTACGACTACAGGCTAGCCACCTCACCCAGTTCTTTAGGGTGAACTGGGAACTGAACCTGAGCCTCCCATG